TTCCATCTAACTGATTTCTCAAAATAAACGTGACAGGCGAAGTTTGCTCAATGATCCGAAAATATGGTTTCCATTTTCCTTGTAGTTTGCTAGACCGGACGTGATTTTTAAGATAAACCGGATCACCTACGTTGAAAGCTTCATCTTTTGCGGTTTTATTTGCATAATGAGACTGGCGTCGCTTTGCTTGTTTGAGGTGTTTATGAACTAGCATAAAAGATTTATGTTGATTTTCTAAAGCAATCTTATGAAAGTCGTCACCGAGGTATTTTCGACGTGGTTTCAACAAATTGTCTATAGGCAATACCACATCTCGGTTAAATAACAGGTAAAATGGAGAGAAACGAGAAGATTCGCTGATATTGAATCGAACAGCAGCCAGCGTTTGATTGATAAATAGATCCCATGTTTCTAAATTATCTTCCATTTTTTTTTAAAGCACGTCATGGAGGGTTCGGTGAAATCGTTCAACCTTAGCATTACTTTGTGGGTGGTAGAATGAAGTAGTAATGTGTTTAATATTTAATTCTGCTAGAGTTTCAAGCATGATTTTATTTTCGTTTTCTGAACCATTGTCAGTTACCAATTGCAGTGGAGTGCCGTAACGTGGAAATATTTCTTCCAGCAAAAGGTGGGCAACGTTAACGGCAGCTTTGTCCTTGACCGGAAAAGCCTCAGGCCAACCACTATACCAATCAACAAACGAAATGATGTACTTATTGCCAGATAGGGAAATTGGATAAGGGCCTGATAAGTCTAACGACAACTTTGCAAAGGGGTAAGGAGGGATGTCAGTTTCCTGCAGAGTGGGCTTGGCTTTACGAAGTGACCTGGTTTGACACGGGACGCATGCAGACACATACGTATAAATCTGTTTATACAGGTTAGGCCAATAATACTTTTGTGCAACCATACTGTAGGTCTTATCAATACCAAGATGAAACAAATTGTGATATTGTTGTAAGACTTCAGCTTGCAGATGAACCGGTACATATAATCGGGGATTAGGTTCGCTGTCGACATGAGAAACATAGTACAGAACATGATTTATAATTAGATATTTCTTGAAATTTGCTGATTTATGATCGTTCTTAGTCAACTGAGAGATAATTTTACTAATTTGTTTGTCTTTCGATTGCTCCTCAATAATATCATAACCGGCTATAGATATATCCGTCGTAGTTTGGGACTCGGGCTCAATCTCGCATTTTGCATATTCGTTGGGGTCAAATCGATTGGAATTAAGAGCATTTATTTCTAATGCATTTTCGACAAGTTGTAATTCCTGGTGATCCTCAGTAATAGCAGACTTTTGCGACATGCGACTTAAGAAATCGGCAATAATATTTAGTTTGCCGGGGAGATATTCGATTGTACAATTGTAGCTGGTCATATTTAAGGCCCAAAGTTGTATTTTCTTGTTTTGCATAGGCGAATCAAAGATATACTTGAGGGGTTTGTGATCAGTCCTAATGACAAAATTTGCGTCGTGTAGATAATAGTCGAATTTCTGCAAAGCGTAATGTATTGCATAACACTCCTTTTCGATGATGGACCACCGTGTTTGAGTGTCAGACAATTTATGAGAGAGTAAATATATGGGAGCTTCGATTTCTTCGCCATGATGATTTGATATGTTTTGCACAAGACATGCGCCTATTGTAGAATCGCTAGCATCGGTATACAGAACATATGGCTTATTGCGATCTGGATATATTAGCAAGGGAATACTGGCTAGCTGATCTTTAAGTTTCTTAAAAGCTAGTCTACATTCTGCATGAAAATTAAATGTAACGTTCTTTCTAGTTAAGGCGATAAGAGGTTCGGCGATCTTAGAAAAGTCATGGATAAAACGGCGGTAATAACCACACATTCCTATAAAGCTCCGAACACCTTTTACGGATCTAGGTTCAGCCAAAGAATTTATCGCCTTGACTTTCTCTGGGTCAGGCTTAATTCCGTGTTCCGAAATGATCAAACCAAGATAATTGGTTTCTTTTTGAAGAAAATTGCATTTAGAAAGTTTGAGTTTTAAATTATGTTCTCTTAGACGATGAAATACTTGATCAATATGGGAAATGTGTTCATCATAGGATGAAGAAAAGATAAGAATATCATCAAGATAAGCAATTGCAAAAGCGTTGAGATCTTTTAGTACGACTTGCATCAAATTTTGATATATTCCTGGGGCATTGGCGATCCCGAAAGGCATGGTATTGAATTCGAATAACCCTCTATGACAACTAAAAGCAGTTTTTTCACGATCTTGTTCATCCATTAATATTTGCCAATAGCCTGATTTTAAATCAAGGGTTGTAAAGTATTGCTTATTGTGAAGTTGTGCCAAAATGTTATCAATTAGGGGAAGAGGATAAGAATTAGGCTTGGTAATTTGGTTAAGTTTGCGGAAATCTACGCAAAAGCGCTTACTACCATCCTTTTTATCTACGATAACGATTGGAAATGACCACGGCGATTGTGAGGGAGATATAACTCGTGCAGCTAACATGTCATCAATAGCTTTGTCTACAGTCTCAAGTTTGTTTAAAGGTGTGCGGTAAGGTCGCAATTTAATTGGAGGGTGAGAACCTGTATCAATTTTCATTTGCACAGTATCAGTCTGCGTCAAGTCTAAATCAGATTTAGCAAATAAATCCTTATTCTGGCTCAAAAAATTTTCTATGTTTAATTTGTGTTCCTTGGGGACATTAATGTTGTCTAATACGTTGTCGGTATCTGGTACGCTTTGCATAGAAGAAGAAAATTCATTAACAGAGTTCACACTAGCTGATTCCACCTTTTCGATTTTACCAACTATGCAACCTTTACGGAGATAATAAGTTCGATTAGAGTTATTTGTAATTGCTACAGAAAATTTGTTATGCGATTTTGCAATATTAATACTATTACTAATTGATAAACCTGCTTGGTGACTTAGATAACCTTGATCGATGGAATTAATCTCGTACATTTTAGAGGGATGTAAATGTGGGGAATGTTTTACACGTGCGGCACATAAAACAGACTGTTGTGGTTTAATTTTTACCGGAGTAACTAAGCGAAGAATTGAAGAAATATGTGCATCTTGAACCAAAGGAATATATTCATTATTAACACTTAAGCAATCTAAATCATAATACAGACGGACACCTTGACTTGTCAACCAATCACGACCGAGAATAAAGTTTCTATTGATATTAGAAACAACATAAAATTTGTGTGTCAACAGACTTTGTCCTAACTTAAAGGAGAGACTAATAGCACCGTGTATAATTAAAGAACCCCCACTAACGGACTGTAAACCTATATCGGCTTTTTCAATGATTGGTTTGTTTGATAATCGTTGATAAATCTTAAAATTAATTAAACTACAATCGGCTCCACTATCTATCAATGACCTATAACGTTGTTTATTTACTTTAATAACACAAGAACTCGGATTTTGAGATAAATTCAAAGTAAAAATTGGCATGTTATTCGAGTTGCTTTTTCCATTCGCTTCAACATGGAAAGAGCGTTTTAGTTTAAATGTCGGTCACGATCATACCTATCGTTTCTACGTCGAGAGAATGTTGGCTTGGAAAATCTTTGTCGCTGTGGTTTATTTGGACAGTTTCGGCTTATATGTCCAGGGGAATTACAATCCCAGCAAATAATTTTATTTGAGTGACCGTTAGATGAAAAATTTTGTCGCCCATTATAATTATCACGAGGCTTGGAAAATGTTGAATTGGTATTTGAATAGGCATTTATATGACCATTGTCTCGTCGTTGTGTACAATCTCTCGTATTATGACCGAATCGATTACAAATAGAACATCGTCGATTAGGGCGTACATGATCGATTTCCATTGGCTCAATGTTTCGCATATCCTGAGATGGAAATGCGTCAGTCCTTAACGCAAAGCGTGAGCGTATATTCTGTTCCGCCATCGTAGACACAACTGCATCTTGTAAAGTTTGAGGGTTTTCTCGGATTAATTTTAATTTTAAGTAATCTTTGTTTAGACCATTTGAAAATATCGAAATCAATTGGCGCTGAACGGGCGGTAATAACATTTCTTCTGTCGAATATGCTCTATTAGCGAGATTAATTAGACGTTCAGCATATATCTGTACCTTCTCGTCATCTTTTTGTTTGGCTGTTTGCAATACAGCTAAAGCGTATTGATTATCAGTTATCAAATCATACCGTGAAGCCAGTTCCAGCTTAACTTCAGTCCATGACGCGTTTGGATTTGCGGGTAAATATCGGGTTAAAAAATCACTAACTGGGCCCTGGCTAGCTTGGTAAGCTATATATTTAACTTTTTGGTCCGAAATTTCTGATAACAACGCATATTTTTCGATACTTTTTATCCAATTAAAATATTTACTTTGATCCCCAGAAAATGATTCGACTAAATGGTTTACCCCATGATGTTTCAAAGTAGTGGACAATCCTATCAATTCCCCAGTTAAATCCGAAAATAAAGTGTTTATATCCGGTTCCGTGGCCATGATATCTACTACAAAAGGAAGGACTCACCTTGTATATTCTGAAGAATTGTCCACCACTGTCGTCAAATCAATCTGGAAGCAGCATAACCACAGGTTCGTCGATCAACGGCACCACTTAAGAGTATGTAACATAACACATACTCTTTTTATTAAACAGATGTTTTATTACTGCATAATATATATACATATGGTGGTTGGATCAGGAGATATCTAACTAAAGATGTTCTCTTTTTTTTTTTTTTTTTTTAAATATAGTTTATTTATAAAATTCATATAATTACATTCAGTTATGCATAATTATATTAACAATGCAATAGATAATTTATAATTTAATACAGTAGAATTATTTATTTATTTACAATTGTTATAAACAAAGTCAATATGAGATGATATATACAAACGGTAATATAATACAAAATACAATTAAAGTTCCTATATTATAGCTACTTTCTTATATACAGCTAAAAATATATTTGAAGTCTGTAGTGGAAAAGCGTCTAATTGAAAGAGAGTGTGATGTTTCCCAGCACAAAAAGAACGTGCATAGGGAATTGTGGGATGTTATGATGGCCATGTTAATGTTAGAGGTGAGTGTTGATTACAGTGAAGGAATAGCGGTAAAACAAACGGGTAAAACTTGAGTTAGTGTTTAAATGTTTTTAATGGATTTCTATTTTACTGTTGGACATATTTCAGTGGGTGTATAGGTATTTTATTTATATGACAGAGTGAGATAGTGCCATTTAACGAAAACGAAAGATGACTAAGATGTCAAGTTGTGACAACTTAAAGTAAATAGCACGGTCTGTTTAGTCATATAGTAGAGTAATTATTATGGAAGCTTCATACAGGACGATAACTTGCCTTATACAGGAGAATTCGGTAAGGCAGAGTAGGCTGAAGCTTGGTGATTTCGATTTTATTTCCTTTTGTATAATATTGGTTTATCAATTAAGCCAAAATTTTCCAGAATTTATATGGGATAGGCCTACAGGTGTTTGGTTATTTTCGCTTGTAGGCCTACATTCTTACTAAAAATTGCAATGAGTGCTCATATACGAAAGAAATATAAGAAGATGTCTATGGTTGTAGCTACTTATTATAGTAGCAAAGTCAATATTTCATGGGAGAAGTTGCAGAGTATAAATTCAGACATGACGACACAAACCTAGGCTTAAGGAGGGTCATAAGGTAGTGAAGACTCGAGCTTAAGAGAGTAATCTTTATTTTTGTTTTCTTTTTGTATAGAATTGGTATATAAGCTCTTGTGAAATATTGGTGGATAGAGGGTGTCTTCGGTTAGACCATATGATCGACAGGTATAGGTATATATCATGAATGTATTTAGATTTTATATTGTGTAGATGGATTGTATTGTTGTTGATTTTGAATTCTTTGGTGAGATGAATGTTGTTTATATGTGTAGTAATGAAACATTTATAGAATTTTAATTTGGGGCAATTCAGAAATAAATGATGGTAAGATTCAGTTGCTCGGTTACAATAGTGGCATTTATAGTTGATAGTATATATATTTCTGTATAGCATAATATCTTTTGTTAGTACTGCATTATTGATGATTGTATACATGAAATCCTTTTCTTTTTCAGATAAGGAGGAGCATTTATAGAGGTTTGTCCAGACTTTTGAAAAGTCAACATGAGGTAATTGTTTATTTATTTTTGGTTGTGTCTGTAATAAGTCAATTAGGGACCAGTATATGTCTTTAAGTTTTGTATTGTATGTATATTTGATGGATGATTTGAGGCTATTGTAAGTTTCTTTTATATCTATATATGATTGGGGGAGTTTTTCCGAGTGGGTATAATTATTGGATGCATATCTTGGCAGAGTATCCCTTGTAGTAAATCCTAGCCTGTATATGTATAGGCCTAACCAGGGACTGTTGTTGTCTTTGATTGCTTTTACTATAAGTTGTTGTTGCATTGCCTGGATTTTTAGTCGAATGTTTGGCACTTTAAGGCCACTATTTTTATGCTCTAGGTTCAAGGTGTTTCGATTAATTGTTTCACTTTTATTTTCCCAGATCAAATTGTAGATTATTTTATTTATGTTTTTAATAATTGAGTTTGAGGGAGGAACTATCCTAGCAACAAACCATAGTTTGCTGAGTATATAGGTGTTTAAGATGCATACTTTTTCTTTATATGAAAGAGAGTGATTTTCCCATGTCTGGATGGTTGAATTGATTATTTGAACAAGGGGTAGCCAGTTCTTTTCCATTTTATTTGAGCCAAACCAAATGCCTAGTAATTTTATAGCGTCTGTTTTAATATTAATATTTATATTTACAGGATAGGAGTAGTGTGATGGTTTTCCAACAGAAAGGATTTCAGTTTTATCATGGTTTAGTTTGGAGCCAGATATAGAGCCAAATGTTTTGAATTGTTCGAGGAGAGTGCTGTATGAAGAAAGTCTAGATATTATAGCAGAACAGTCATCTGCATGCTGAAATAACTTAATCTCTGAAGGGTGGTTAGGGATCCTGATGCCTTTTATGAGGATGTTTTTGTTTATGTATGAAGCAAGGGGGTTGATACACAATGAGTATAGAATCATGGATAGTGGACATCCTTGACGAATCCATCGGTTAATTTTAATATTTTGGGTAAAGGATCCATTTACTTGGACTTTACTAATCGAGTTTTTAAACAATATTGTAACCCAGTTAAGGATGTAATTTGGGAAATTAATATGTTTAAGTAGATTTATGATATAGTTGTGTTCAATGCGATCGAAGGCTTTTTCTTGGTCAAATGATAATATATAGGCACTGGACTCATTTGTGTTTATATAATTTAGTATTGTATCTATTGAATATAGGTTATCAAAAATGCTTTTATTTGGTCCAGCTCCTGTTTGTGTATTAGAGATTAATTTGTTAATAACAGAATTTATTCTTGTGCTTAGAATTTTTGTTATGATTTTATAGTCCACACATAACAGGCTTATCGGTCTATAGTTCTTGAGTAATCGATGGTCGCCTTTATTCTTGTAGTTAATTGTTATGATACCAGTTCTCATTGTGTTAGATAATTCCCCCTGTAGATAGATGTTGTTTAATACTTCTGTTAAATCGTTTCCTATAATGTCAAAGAATTTTATGTAGAAATCTCCTGGAATACCATCTATACCCGGGCTACGGTTTGTTCTAAATTTTTGTAACGCCTTAAGGACTTCATCTCTAGATATAAAATGTGATATTGAATCTCTTTCCGTGTTTGTTAGTGTGTTTATGTCACTGTTTTCGATATAGGACTTCATTAAGTTATCATTAATATTTTGAGAAGTATATAGTTGTTGGTAGAATTGGTGAATTGTGTCTAATATATCTTGTTTATTGTCACAGATTGTATTATTTTGATTGATCAGTTGTTTAATTTGTTTTTTTGCACCCTTTTTAACTTCTGCTAATTTATATATTTTAGAATTAGTAGATACATCAATTTGGGGTATTTCTAATTTTGAACGTATAACGTAGCCTTGTTTGGTATTATATTCTATAAGCTCAATTTTTGATTTAATCTCGTTTATAGAGTTATTCTTACTAGGTATTTCATTTTCTAGGGATTCCAGTTGTTGATAAAGGTTACTGAGGATATGTTTGTTCTCAACTGCTAAGGCTTGACAGTAATTTTGTGTAATATTTCTAATAGCAGCTTTACCTTTTTCCCACCATTGTATGTTGTCAATGATTTGGTATTTTTTGTTTTGCCAGCTTGACCAGAATGTTTTAATTTGATTTTGGTAGTTTTTATCATCTAGAATAGAATTGTTAAGTTTCCAATATCCTTTACCCCATTTAAGATTCTTAAGGTTGATATTTAGTTCCACTGCTTTATGGTCAGTGAAATGAAGTGGTATATGTTTAATTGATTTGATGTAAGTTGCATATTTATTACTTATGTAAATGCGGTCTAATCTGCTAGCATGTCCTTGTGAGTTGTGATAGGTAAAAAGGGGAGTGTCAGGGGAGATAATTCTGTAACCATCACTTATATTAAGTAGATTTTGTATATCAAGTAGATATCTTATAGCATCTTTTGGATGGTTATTCATGTTGCCATGTTTGTTATCTTTACTGTTTTCAATAAGGTTAAAATCACCAGTAATAATATAAGAATGTTGTGGATTATGAATAGTTTTGACATATTCAAGAAGTCTCTTGTAGTAATAAGTTTTCAATTCTCTCTTGCAGGGACCATATATATTGAATATTTGAATAGTTTCATTATTTGCATTTACCTCCAGATGTTGGAGCCTACCTGCTAATTCATCAGGTGTATTGTAGAGTTTATGTATAATGTTTGGGCTTAATAATAGGGCAATGCCAATCTTTGTTTCATTATATGCAGTGTATAAGTTATAGCCAGTTTCGTTTTCAACATTTTTTATTTGATGGACATTGGATTTTAGAATTTCTTGTATACAAACAATATCTAGTTTGTTAAATATATTGCTAATTTGTTTAATCTTTTGAAGATTTCCTTGTAGAGCGTTTATGGAGTAAATTAACATAATACTTAGGTAAATAATAGGGATAGAAGGCTTCATTGTTAACTAATATGGTTTCAAGAACTTATAACGTCTTAATTTGTTTGATCTCTAAACTTCTGTTTCGGTGAGCGGGGATTCCGCTCGCGCCCTTTTATCATCTATTTCTGTTTCGGATAAACTATCAAGGCTTCTTTCCCTTTTACTTACTGTGTCACACTTAGTGACTGTAGAGTTATTTAACAATGAGACATCAGCGTCATAGTTAAGATTTGACTGCGATGTTTCAGGGATATCATGGGATGAGTTGTCAATGATACTGTTATCCTCTAAATAACTTTGACCCACTGAGGATCCTGTGTTAATGGGGGTGGAAGAAACATGACCACTAGATGTATCAATAATAGACTTATTAACATCATTGATAAAATGGCTATCAGGGCTGAGGATAACATTTGTTGTATTGGTAGTGATAGGAATGTCATTGTTGACTACTGTTGTTTTTATGGAGTCTAGAGTAGCTAAGTCCTGGTTTAGACTTCCTGGGTTTGCAGGTTTGACTTGACCAGAATTATAGACATTTGTTTTTGTCGTATTATTTTTTGAGGGGATAATATTATTGACACCAGGGTTATTGTCTTCACTAGGGTCATAACCTAAGACATGGTTATTGATATTTAGGTGCTCATGATTAGGTTCATAAATATTATCAATATTATGGGTGGGTTCAGTGGCTATATCAGCAGATACTATAGCACTGTTTGGACTAGTTTGGGGTTGAAGGGCAGGAAATTCCATTTGATCACCAGGATTTGGTGCATTTGGGTTGGTTGGCAGACTATATCTTTTGTCTGGTTTTGTACATTCACGGCCAAGATGCCCATGCAGGCCGCAGTTGTAACAAATTTTGCCCCTAGTTTGGCCCTCATATTTAATGGTCTCCCTAGGTCACAGAAAACCCAACTGCCCTTTGACTCTCAAAACCAATCTTAAATAACGTAGTGTCATCTCTGCCGCCTGAATCCTGATTGGTTTACAGGTTACATAAACAATTAAACTGATTGGCTAACTCGTAGTCACATTGAGTTTGATTGACAGTAAGATAATCCAACATAAACTAATTACTAGAATTCGCACCTCTAAGCTCTAAAGCAACAATGTTAACACCTGTCATGGATTCTGACTGCTACACGTTTGTACAAGCTATCACGTCTTACATAATATTATGTCTTAAGTCTACGACTGATACAGATAAAAGGCGTCCGGAATTTAGAAGTTTATACAACGCAGGTAATTAACAATGAAACTAATTATTAATGGTCACCCATTCTAACTTTAAACAATAGGTGTCAATATCTGTTGTGCTTAAATCTTATCTCATATAGGTACTCCGAGCATACAAGTGAGTACCACCTATCAGCTGTTACATAAGATTAAACTTGTAATTAATCTGTCTATTAGAATGTCAAAAATAAGGAAAGAATGGAAAAAATATAAAATACTGACATAGATTCAAATACAATATTAAATTTTAGGTCTCAAATGATATTGTATTACACTATTACGAAACATGTTGAGACTGAGAAAAGCTTTTGCGAAGCATCGCTATGTACAGAACGAATCAAAATTAGAAAAGAAACATATATACAAACACATGATGAACAACAAGTTAAATAACTTGTGAACAGAGTAATCCGTATTAATTATTCCTTTGGCAGAGGAAAATTCAGCCGACAGCTAGGGATATGTATACTCTGCTGGTTGCGTATGTAATTAATTTCAATTAACATGTATCATTAGTGCGGAAACTTATGATTACGTCAGAAGTAATCCTAGAGATATTCGATAACTTTATACGTAGCATGGTGAATATAATATTATGTAAACACATATAAAAAGAAGACATCATACTTGTTTGTCCTGTCTATTTTTTCCTTACAACCTGTCGTGCCCTAAATATATGCAGATATAGGTTAGACTATATTTAAATAATAACAAGTGATATCACACTGAGTAGCTTTACTGTGTTCGACCTATTGTATGCAAATGTCCTATTAAGATTCTCAGAACTATAAATGGCTATATACAGGTATCCCAGTCTAGGTATATAATCATGCAGGTATCGTACTATATAATTTAGTAGCTATATAATATGACAGAAGAAGAAGAAGAAGTGTTTATTAAAGTGTCACACGATGTACATTTACATATCATAATCGAGTTAAAAACTTAATTAAAAAGAACATCGCCCGGCCATGACGACCTATGGGACACTGGACATATATATATATATTTATATGTATATACATAATTATCTAAAATACAGATTTATATTAAATAAAATATCCTGTTATAAAATAATATCACATATCTTTTAAAAAAACGGGCTCTCCTTTGAAACATATCAAATATAAAATTGCATATCATACTGGGGTTGATATCACTAGAAAAAATACTTATTACTTTCTCTTTGATAGACATTTTATAGAAATTTGCGTCTATCTTATGCATTTCTGTAAAAGGTCCATAACGAAGGTCGGAGTACATTTTGCATTCAATTAAAAAATGGGATTCTGTCTCAATTTCTGAGCAGAAGGGACATAATCGACAAATGAATGGGGTTGGGGGGTGACTGTATCTCAGTGTTTCGATCATTAGATCAGATCTACCGCTGCGTAATAATGACGTGGCTTAACGTATATGGCGTGGGAGATTGTTAACTAAAACATAAGGTTCGGGTTTCAAATCCTTTTTAAACAAACGATAGGTTCTCAATTTGTTGCCATTAGGGTTTTTACTGTCATTCCATAACTCTTGGAACCATTTACTCTCGTCATTTTGGAATAAATGACACTTTAAAGCTTTTAAATGAGACTTGTTTATAGATTCTTCATCACATATATGACTTATTCTAAGATTTTTTACCAGGGCGTGTACGTTCTTTTCCGTACCAATAATACAATACGTAGACACCACTATTTATGTTATTATACTATTCAAAAAAAGTAGGGGATATTTGATTTTGGGGCATAATACTAAAATATGCAAATGACTACGAAAAAAGTCACTATAGAACCTAACAGA